CCCCTGACGCCCCTGACCCCCCTGGATCCCCCGGGCCGGTCCTGGAGAAGAGACGACACATCCTATAAGAAGCTGCGCCGCCGATGCAAAGGCACAGTTGTCCTGTTTCGCAGCAGCACACCACTTTAGCAACCATGTTCAAGCTGGTAAGTCGTGTCGAGTAAAAAGTATTCACACATTTTTTCCAGGCATTAAAAAAGTTGGTTACCAATATTGTCTCCTGCACACTAGTGTTGTCGGTCCAGCCGCATCGCTTGGCCATATGTTCTCCTCATCACACTCTTTGCCTTCCGCAGGCCGTCCTCCCCCTCTTCTTCGCCGCCGTCTCGGCTGGCTTGATCGGCGCCCCTGCAGTGGGCCCCGTCGCCTACTCCGCCCCTCTGGCCTACGCCGCCCCCGCTGTGGCCGCCCCCCTGGCCTACGCCGCCCCTGCACCCATCGTGAAGACCGTGGCTGCTGCCCCTGTCGCCTACGCCGCCGCCCCCGCTGTGGCTTACGCTGCCCCTGCGCCCATCGTCAAGACCTTCGCCCCCGCCCCGGTCGCCTACGCCGCCCCCGCTGTGGCGTACGCTGCACCCGCGCCCATCGTTAAGGCTGTGGCCCCCGCCCCCGTCGCCTACTCCGTCCACCCCGCCCCTGTTCTGAAGGCTGTGGCCCCCGCCCCCGTCGCCTACTCCGTCCACCCCGCCCCTGTTCTGAAGGCTGTGGCCCCCGCCCCCATCGCCTACGCCGCGGCCGCCCCCGTCGTCAAGACCATCTCCCCCGCTGTGGCTTACTCTTCCCCCATCGCCTACGCCGCTCCCGCCCCGGTCGTCAAGACCCTGGCCGCCGGCCCCGTCGTCTCCACCTACGCTGCTAGCGCCCCTGTGCTCTCCTCCTACGCCGCCCCCGTGGCCTACGCTGCCGCCCCGGCCCTCGCCCACACCACCCTCGTACACTAAGTTATTTCCATCTCTCCCAACTTAATTTATTGTCAACCCCATAGTCATTGCTCGTATGCTGGACGTACTTCGCTGTGTACCTGATTTAGACGCCACATGTTGCTAATAAATTTGCCGTCAAATATTTAACACTTGCCTTTTCCTACCTATATCCAACCTTGTCCTATCAATTTTTGAATCACACAAAATAATTATTTGCGTAAACTTTTGGATGGTTTTGAGTGTTATGGATCATATGACATTCAGACCTCTGTGTGACTGTGTGACTCTCCAGCGACTTAAATATACACAAATAATTAAGATTTTAGATGTCGTCAACAAACTGAATATGAACGGAGTAACATATGTGTCACTGCTTGAAGTCCCACTTAATTTACATCTTTGACATTCCTTCAGGAATAGACCATACAGATAGTTGTATGTAGAAAAAACAAAAAGAAAAGCATTTTAAAAATACATACAAAGGAAACAGAATGTAGCTGATAGACAGACATATTACCTCCTTTGAGAAACCGAGTCTTTTTGAGCAATTATTTAGCTTCCTTTGGGAAACCGAGTCTTTTTGAACAATTATTTAGCTTGTTCAGTCGGAGCAATTATAGATGAAGGATCTGTTGACAAACCTTAGGATTTTCATTTAATGATAGATCTTTGTCAAGCTTCCTTTTTGGAAGATAAGGAATAAATTTTCTTTCATGACGTATTTTTCCAAACCAAAAAATAGGAAACATTTCCGAAGACTTTTCTGGATAAGGCAACTATTGTTTTCCCAGGACTATCACACTGCAGATTGATTTCATCAGCTTCTCCTAATTAAACTGAGCAATAAAATCTCCTTTTTAATTTCAGGTGGCAGTCTAGATGTAAAAACTGCATTTTGGATTACTTTTTTTTTTTTTAATTGAATACAATACGAAATGAAGTGTTTCAGATATTGAAACTAGGTTTTACAACGAACTATGCAGGTTGGTTTTAGTATTTTAAGTAATACTTACCAAATGAAAATTCACAACTATCCAGAAAATTGCAACCACAAACAAAATGGAAAATAAAAAGCTTAGGTATGAAATTTAGAATGTGACAAAAATATCAAGTAAGGATAACTGTAGCAATAAGGTAGTGTTGGTAAAAAACCGGGGTATCAAAAAGACATGTGTTATCGGCAATAATTTAATTTATTGAGCTAGGGCATCGAAAAAAAATATAGGAACTTTTTTCGCATCAGTCGCGACACAGCAGGTTTGACTTAGTGCAGGTAGGTGGTGTGGGCAAGGGGGGCGGCGGCGTACGCGCTGGTGTAGGCGGGGGCGGCGTAGCCGTAGCTCTTGATGACGGGGGCGGCAGCGGCGTAGGTGGAGTAGGCGGGGGCGGCCGCGTAGGTGGAGTACGCGGGGGCAGCGGCGTAGGTGGCGACGGGGGCGGCGTAGCTCTTGATGATGGGAGCGGGGGCGGCGTAGCTGTAGCTCTTCACAACGGGGGCGGCCGCGGCGTAGGTGGTGTAGGCGGGGGCGGCAGCGTAGGTGGCAACGGGGGCAACAGCCACAGCGGAGCGGGACACCTTGTAGGTGTTCTGGTAGGAGGTGGCGACGGGGGCGATGGTCTTAACCACGGGGGCGGCGTGGACCACGGGGGCGGAGTAGGCCACAGCGGGGGCGGCGTGGACCACAGGGGCGGAGTAGGCCACAGCGGGGGCGGCGTGCACCACGGGGGAGGAGTAGGCGACGGCAGGGGCGTGGTGGACCACGGGGGAGGAGTAGGCCACGGCGGGGGCGGCGTGGACCACAGGGGAGGAGTAGGCCAGCTGGGCGCCGTGGACGGTGGAGGTGGAGTGGCTGGAGTACGCCACAGGGGCCACTGCGGGGCTACCCAGGAAGCCAGCCGAGACGGCGGCGAAGAAGAGGGGGAGGGCGATCTGCAACACAACAACAATGTCAAACATTGGGTCCGCCAGGAGGACACACTCTCAGCTCGTGCACTGTTAATTTCCTGCGAAGTATTTTGCTACTTTGTAACTACGAAGCATTTACTTCGCAACTACAAAGTGATGCTTTGTAATTGCGAAGTAAATGCTTCGTCGTTACAAAGGGGAAAAATACTTCGCAGCTCTGCAAAGCGAATAATGCTTTGTAGGAATTTAACAGTGTGGGCTGCTGTATCTGTGGTACTCACGAGGGAGTTCATGTTGGCTGGTATCGGCTGCTGGATGCGACTGATGCCTCCTCCAAAACCGCAGACTATTTTATACGGACCTCGGTTTGCGGGCCGGTGGGGGCCCGTCCGTGCGGTGGGCCGCGCCCCCGCGCCCCACCCCAGACACACCTCCAGGACCGCCCCACTGGGCCCCTCTCCTCCACCAGTGCCCCTTGAGCCCCCCTCTCCCTCTT